TATATATATATATATATACTTTTTTTTAAAATAAGGGGCATATATTATAAGAGTTTTCTTCTTTCTGCACCCTTTTCATTCAGTGTTTTTAAAATTAATTCATTTTGTTTCTTTTAAATGAATGAATAAATGAATAATAACAAATAAATAAAAACTCAGTCTTAGACAGTTTGAGCTGATGGGCAGACAGGTAGGTCACACCTGTTACAGCAATATTATAAAAACCTTCCTGCTGCCCTTGGGCCAAGATAACCTGAGGCCTAAGTTTTATGAAGTGTGGGTCATTTTGACCCAAAGGCAGCAGGAGGGTTAAATGCACGGAGTTTAAAGCAGACACTGAGCCTAACTAGCAAAGTCACGGTCGTGCAGAACTCATGATGCTGCTTTTTAAACCTGTTTCAAGGCAAAAATATAAAGTTGTCACAAAAGTTTTTACCTTCTGCCCACGGACACTTTTTTTTTTTTGGCAGCTTTTTGTGCCAGTGGGCATGGAAATAATTATACAAGAGAACATAGAGTCTCCACTTTTTGTCAAATAATCATAAAAGGGATATTTCATCAGCTTTAAAAGCCCAAAAAGTCCACTTTCATTTTTTCATAGATTGCATTAAAACAGAGACGGTGTAATAATGTGACATCAAAAATTCATTTTACTGAATTATTACAGATTCCTTTCCCTTCTCCAGGTTACACTTACAAACCAAATGCCCTGCTGCTTTTACATTTAACAAAAAGAAACCTTCTGTTTTACGACTAGTTTATGGTTTTCTGCAGGTTGGAGCTGACTAATGTTAGGCCGGGTCAACAAAACCACAAGGTTAAGGTTGTAAAAACAAATCTGTTTCCATAGGATTATAAAAAGAACGTGCTAACTCACATGAACTCAGCTTTTGTTTCAACTTGGCTGCAATTTATAAGCAACCTCCTCTGAAACCTCCTTCAAATTAACGACTATTATTCCCTGAATTTTATACAAAGATCATCCTTTTTATACGCACATATATTCTGTGTCCATCTGTACTTTCGTAAACTTTCTCTTGTCCCGCTCAAGATAATTTAATTAAACTTGCTAAGCATGTGGATCATCACTAACAGTAATGTTGCATACACTTTTCATCACTCCAGCTTCAAGATCACAAATCAAGGTCAAACATTATCCAAGGTGTTTGCTTGTGTAGACCGTTGGTATAGATTGTTGTTGGTGCATGACAGTTTAACAGGTAAATAAAGTGCTGTAAGTGGAACCCTTAATGGTCAAACCTTAAAAAGAACATTATGTGTGATCTCTTGCAGTATTGCAGGATTCCGTACTCAAAGTATCTGCTGTGAATGACTGTAACACCAAAGTTTAGCTTAATATCTGTCAAACTAGATAGTTCCTGGAGAAATTTGATGGAGACTGCCACGTGGCAGCCATTTTAATTTTTAAAAAATTTGATAGTACTTTGTGTTTGGGTTCACTCTCAGCTACCACCACACCAAACTTCACCTCAAAATGGCAAAATATCAGTCTTTTTTTCCTTTTAAACTATGACGGCAATCTGGATTTTTTAATTTGGATTCAGTATGTGATGAGAAACGGCCTCGGCTATAATCGCACCAAATTTCATCTCGATGTGTAACAATAGCTGAGTTAAAGCCATTTAAATGTAGCTTTGGTGGCCATCTTTAATTTTTTTAAAATTCATTATTTGAGTATTTCTCAGCTACTAAAACACCAAATTTCAGTTTAATATCTCTAAAAATGTCTGATTTACAGTATTTTTCCTTTTTTTTTCGTTAAGGTGGCCATCTTGGATATTTTGTTTGCAACCAGTCTATGAAAAATGACTAATAAAAATGGTGTCTTTAGTCTTATTCGCACGGGATTAGTTTTACCTTGGGACCACATGCTATTTGTAATAATTACGGAGATTGTGTTAATCCCGTGCAAATCGACCATGTCAATAATTTGTAAAGTGAAAATTATCCCATAAATTACCTACTATATTTTGCTGAACTCCGAGGTCCTGTGATAATACTAATCCAACGTGAATAGGCATCTCTGTGATTTGGACAGAATTGGGCCGTATCTGATACGTAATTAGGCGTTTTTTGTTTCCTGGGTACATTTTTATTTGCTTTTGGCAATGGAGACTGCATTGGAGTGCATAAATAACCTTTTGTGTTCCGGATCAGCAAAAGCCTATCGACTCATAACGGTCGCCATAAGCGGCTGTTACGCAATACGCAGCGCGTTAACATCACATCCGGAAGATGTCCGTAAATTTCAGCTAAATCTCAGGCTTTGGTTATCCCGTGCGAATGCACCACATAAAAAGCAGACATTGGGGAGTAATTTTTTTATTACATGTGGTCCCTAGGTAAAACTAATCCCGTGCGAATAGGGCTTTAGTTAGCAAATTACATTGCCATGGTAATTTGATACGCCAATAAA